TTTCTTGAAGAACAAGACCACCGCACTTCTGCTCCACGCCTCCGGTGTAATGCCACCATGGAGGACGGAATTAAAGAGCTTCTGAAGGACTTCAAGTACCGGTTTTCCACCCGCTTTCAGAAGCTCCGCTGTAATTCCATCCTCGCCTGGGGTCTTGCCGTTTTTAAGGTGCTGGAGAGCCATTCTAATCTCGCTCAGACTGACGTCCGGGATATCATCGGAATAATGTCGGATAAGACTCGCTCTTGGATCGTTACTCACACTTGCGTGCGGCTCCAACGATGACGTGTACAGCTGCCCATAGAACCTCTCAATCTCACTCAAAATCTCAGGTGCCCCGGAAACGATGCTGCCACATTCTGTCTTCAGCTTTGACAGTTGGCGCTTTCTGGCAGACAGATCTCTGGCAAAGACTTTGGAGCCTCGGTTCCGCTCGATCGCTTCTTCAATACGAGCTGTATTGAATTTGCGTAAGTCCCGCCGCATGCATTTGGAGATCTGTCTGTTCAGTTGCCTGTATGCTGTTAAATCTGTTGGAGAATGTAGCTTCATCTCCCGTCTAACAGCCATGAGATTAAGAGTGTGATCGGAGAGTTTTTGTGTTCTTCTGCGGCGGGTCTTGCAGAACTTAGCTCCGACCGCATGGACAGTTTCCACGAGCTTGTCATTCAAATCGTCCACTTCATTGCAGTCTTCTAGGCACTGAAAACGGTTTTGTAACTCGAGCTGAAAGGTTTCGGGACTTTGGATTAGAGCACGAGGGGGACGGAGCGTTGACTTCATTAGACGAGACCTCTCCAACTTAACGTTTAGGTTCAGTGTGCCTCTAACCATTCGGTGATCGCTGCCGGTTTTCACCCTCGCGATCACTGAGACATCACTGAACAGTTGTCGTCTGGTCGTCATAATGAAGTCAATCTCATTTTTTGTCGAACCGTCGGGGCTCGACCAGGTCCACTTCCTGTGGGGCCGCTTCTGGAAGAAAGAGTTCATCATAAAGAGTCCCTCTTTCTCCATGAAGTCGGCCAGCTGCTGGCCCCTTGGGTTCCGTTGCCCTATTCCAAATTTCCCTACTTTCAGCTCACCGTTCTCTCTTGTGCCTAGTTTTGCATTGAAGTCTCCCATTAACACCGTATATTGGGTTTTGGAGGAATGCATGGCTCTAGAGATATCCTCATACATTTCCTCCACCTCCTGATCGGGGTGTGCCGAGGTTGGTGCGTAAACCTGTATGACCTTCAGCGAATACCGTTTGGTGATTCTGAGTATAAGGTACGCAACCCTCGTCGACACACTCTCAATCTTTACAACGTTGTTAACGAGAGACTTGTGGACGATAAATCCGACACCTCCTTGGGACAGATGGTCGCCCTCCCGGTAATAGAGCAAGTTGCCGGATTCGAGGATTACCGTGTCCTCCCCCTCTCTTCGGACTTCGGATAATCCTATAATATGCCAGCGTAACTTGTCTATCTCTTCTTCCAGCTCCACAATCTTCTCGTCAGTCCTCAGGGTGCGTGCGTTGTATGTTGCCAGGTCGAGTCGTCGTAGGTGGCAACCGAACCTCCACCGGAGATTCTTAGCACCCCCTGCCCCGCCGTTACCATGGTCGTCACCGTAGCCAGGAATAGCGGGGCCGCCGGGGACTGGGGGCCGTTTATTATTGTCATTGCTCATGGGGGGTATATTGCCATAGTTGCCACGCTTGGCGAGCGGGTTGGCAACCGCAGTTTTTTTAGTGTTATTTTGGCTATTATCAGGAAGATGCTGCTGCCCATCTCCTGCCTGTTTCCCTTTGTCGCCTTTTACGACACCCACGGGAAGATATGGGGTAGTGGATATTCTTAACCGCCACTACACGGCACACAATTTATATACAAACAGACATAAAATTATAAACAAATATTCACGGAACACAAATAAACATACATCAATGCATAATAAACGTACAAGTAACAAATGCTCACAAACACATACATAATACGTATACCACTCCTAATACATGCTTAGCGAATTTAAAGGCTAATTGTTTATTTTACAAAGTCAGTCCCAATAAATCGTTACAAAGAACACACGCCTCTTTCTGTCAATTTCAAGTAAATCAAACAGTGTACCTTAAGTACAACAACATATGGTCCATTTTCGAGCCGAATAGAAGCGATCGGAGAAGGATCGACGATGCTGCCGCGAGAACAGAGGACTGCATTCCTTTAGAGATAAGGCGGCCGAGTTATTGAAAAACAACACTGTTTTGCAAGGTTTGTGTTTCATTACTTTCGATAAATTTAATTGTGGTGTACAATGACTACGGAAGTTTTAAAAGCGTTAAGTACTGTGGAAGACATTGCACAAATATTAAAGAAGACTCAAAAAAACCTAAAAAAATGTCCTAAAGCAAGATTAACTCCTATATATGCCGAAGCACGTCTTAAGTGTGTTGAAGAATATTGGACGGATTATAGAAAAGCTTATGGTGATATAATTAGTCACACATTAAAAGAGAAAAGAGATCTGGTGCCGTACTTTGCAAAGGAGGAGTTTTACGAACACGAAGAGTTATATATTACCTTAAAGGCGGAGCTACAAGATTTTATAACTTCTCAACCAATCAATACATCCATACCAATTATGAGTGAATGTCAATAGCCACGCGTCCTGTTACCCAAAATACAAATTCCAACTTTCAGTGGGCAATATGAAGATTGGTCATCATTTTACGATTTGTTTAATACGCTCGTCCATAATAACGGGTCATTGAGCAATGTTCAACGGCTCCATTATTTGAAGACAAGTCTTACAGGAAAAGCCGCTTTGGTTTTGAAGCACATACAGGTAACGGAGTCTAATTACGAGCAGGCATGGAATTTATTGAAAGGTCGATACGGTAACAAACGTATGACTGTGAATGCGATTATGAAGAGATTATTTTCTCAAAAAAAGATGACAGTTCCACAGACAAGGATCCACTTGTTAGATTTGGGCCCTTGTCGACTAAGGCTCTCAAGCATCCTTTATAAGCGAAAGGGCAGCACAACGCCTTTAAACCACACGGCAATCAGTAAAAGGAAATGTAGTTGGCGTAGGATCTACAAGTGTTGGCATAAAACAAGTAGTGCAGTTGGAACTACAATCACGTTGGGATTCAACCTTTAGTTCTATGAATCTAATGGAATTTCACTAAATGACGAACTGTCAATGGGACCGGTCATTCTAGAAGGTCTTCGAAGCATAATCATGCGATGGCGATTACACTGTTTTTGCTTTGCATCAGACATTTAGAAAATGTATAGAATGATATTAGTAACCAAGGACGACAGAGATTACCAGAGAATCTTATGGAGAAGTCAAAGATTAAGTTAAAGATTACCGGGTACTTACAGTTACCTTCGGAACAACGTCAGCACCTTACCTGGCAGTAAGAACGCTAACGCAGCTGGCATTTGATGAAAGAGATAAATATCTAGAAGCTGCTCAGATCCTTCGAGAAGACTTTTACGTAGACGACGTTTTATCGGGTGGCGATACAGTAGAAGAAGTCATAAAAATCAGTTAACAACTAAAATCTCTACTTAAAAGTGGTTGCTTCGAACTCAAAAAATGATCTTCCAACAGTGTCGAAGTCATGAAGTCAACAGAACCAAATGAAAGATCTTCCAAAGCACACATAGATCTCAAAATGGATGGAAAAATTAATGCCTTAGGTATTCTTTGGAACCTAGCCACTGATGAATTTTGCTATAACTTTCATCTCCCTGAAAAATTTTCAATTGTAACAAAAAGAACAGTCCTATCAGACATCCAAAAAATATACGATCCTTTGGGATGGATTGCAACGAGTGTCATCATGGCGAAAATGTTTGTACAAAAATTATGGCTGGAAGGAGTTGTATGGGATGACAAAATAAGCTCCATCCTTGAAACAGAATGGTTGACATTACGAGCAGACTTCCAGAGCATCAACGAAGTATCCATACCAAGAAGAAGAAGAAGAAGTATGCACACAATGAACTGTAACAAACAACAGATACAAATTCATGGTTTTTGCGACACATCATCACGGGCTTATGGAGCAGCCATATATTGCAGAGTTGTGAAACTCGACGGTACTATAAAGACAGCACTCCTTGCAGCGAGAACAAGAGTGGCCCTTTTGTAAACCGTGACTTTGTCACGCTTAGAGCTTTGCGGAGCTGTTCTACTCTCCAAACTTCTTAAACAAATCAGTCCGGCAATGAGAATACAGTTTAGTATGCGCTAGACAAAGCGCCACAACCAAAACCCAAATAATGGGAGATCTACCACAAGTGCGAGTGACTCCAAGTCGAGCCTTTTTATATAGTGGAGTCGACATTGCTGGCCCTCTTCAAGTTTTAACATCCAAAGGCAGAGGTGCCAAGACTCACAAGGCATATATATATATATATATATATATATATATATATATATATCAATTTTAATCTGTATGGTTACCAAAGCTATACACCTAGAATTGGTGGGAGACATGACGTTAGAAGCATTTATAGGAGCATTTAGACGATTTGTGGCAAGGAGAGGAAAATGTATTCCTTTATACAGTGATCAAGGCAGAAATTTTGTTGAGGCGAATAAAGAATTAACACGAGCTTGGAAGGAGGCTTGTACAGAATTTACTGGTCACGTCGCAGAACGCCTTGTTTCCGAAGGCACACAATGGCATTTATTCCTGCTTACAGTCCTAATTTCGGTGACCTTTGGGAAGCAGGCGTTAAATCAATAAAACACCACCTTAAAAGAATTTTGACGACTAATTTAACGTTTGAAGAGATGACCACCCTCATGATTTGAGATGATTTCTTGTGCCAAATTGAGGCTTGCCTCAATTCTCGTCCTTTATATCCAGTGGATGAATCCGACACTGATCAAATTGAGCCTCTTACACCTGGACATTTTTTGATTGGAGAAGCCCCAATTACTATTCCCTCTCCAAGTTTAAAGGAAGTTAAAGTGCACTATTTAACACGATGGCACATACACAAAAGCTGTTGCATGATTTCTTGTCACGCTGGCTAGCAGAATACCTCTCCAGGCTTCAACAGAGACCGAAGTGGCTAAAGCAAAAGAAGGAACTGGAGAAAGGAGACATAGTGCTAATCAAGTCGGGCAATCTTCCTTCTGGGAAATGGGCTCTAGGACGAGTGACAGACAAACACCCGGGCCCGGATGGAGTGATCAGAGTGTACAGTTTAAAAAGTGGTGATAATGTTGTTAAAAAAACTGTAACAAAATTATGTTTACTACTTATTGATACTCAACCATAAATATGTTTATATTATTATTGTAAAGGCATGGAATAGGTTCGCGTTTTATAAAAATAATTTATAATGTAAACTCAATTTTCATCTTCTTTTTTATTTGATAAAGGACTTAGTAGTCCGTTGGTGGGCGGTATGTTAGGTTTATTTACTCGAACATATGTACACGTATTTACATACAAACAGTCATAAAATTATAAACCAATATTCACGGAACACAAATAAACATTCATCAATGCATAATAAACGTACAAGTAACAAATGCTCACATACACCTACATAATACGTATACCACTCCTAATCAATGCTTAGTGAATTTAAAGGCTAATTGTTTATTTAACTAAGTCAGTCCGAATAAATCGTTACAAAGAACACACGCCTCTTTCTGTCAATTTCAAGTAAATCTAACAGTGTACCTTAAGTACAACAACAGTCACCCTTATTCTATAAAAAAAAACTATATAGTATATACGAGTAGTTGGTAATAAAAAAATCTCTATATTTTATAGTGTAATACACTTTTATGTATGTGTATAATAACTAAGTATATACGTGTTGCGAACAAAAGTGGGGCGGAGGTATGTATTATAGTACCATATACCTATTAAATTAGTGAAATTTTTAGTTGCTTTTAAGAAATAAGGACTAAGGATACTAATTAGATATTTAATGACTTAGGAAACTAAAACTTATTATTGTTTTACAAACACGTGTAATAATTAACAGTTCTTAAAACTTTAAAAGTTAAAGATGAAAACAACATAATGTGATATAACATAAGATAACGATTATGTATTTGTTTACATTACTATTTAAAACAAATTTCTAAATTTAAAATTTTCTTTCTGCATTTTTCGCGTAAATTTGAGCTTTATGCTACATTAAAATGAATCTATGCACAGCTCACTAGAATAATTACTTTCATACGATACAGGAGATAGCAATAAAAATGGCGTCGGATTTAAGGCTACGCTACCGTCTGCCTCAGTTGTTAAAATGTAGAATACACTATACATCTGGTCTTTCTCTTCTTGTAAAATTTCTCGAATTTTTTAAGAACCAAAAAATAACTCGTTCTTTGTGGCGTTGATTTTGGTATTGTGGTTTTAAAGAATAGGTCAATGACTTGCGTTTTGCTAATAACACTATTTTTTTTTCATAAAAATGTCAAGTGGAAAAAACTAATTTTTATAAATTAAATATATTTATATAATATCAAATATTTTCTTTCTTCGACATAACCCCAATCGTTTTTTGAAATAGTAAATATAGAGGTGTGCCTAAAAACGTATTTTAATAACAGTCAAATTATAATCACTTCGTTTTATAACATACGTGAATATACTGACGACTTTGTTGTGTGTCGATTATATTTACATTTAATAACATTGTAAAGTGATGAACATACTCGTACATACCATAGGCCTGTGAGTGTTGGCTTCTAAGTACAAAATAAATTTAATTTTTTTGGTTTAGGTGTATACTTTAAACAAATTAGAGATGTATGTGCAAATGGTTCAAATTATTCACTTTTGAATTCAGAGAGGTTGTAATTGAATCGATGAATAAGTAACTTTTATCTGTTGTATAAAATATCAACTGCAATTACCAACTGCGTTACATCTAGTCAAATAAAAGTTGACATGGTGGTTGCGATAGTGAGAGGGAGAATTTAAAATACATTAAAAGATAACCTGAGAATATTATGTAGAAATGTTTTTCTAGTACGTTTTTATATCGGTTTTGGTATAACATTAGTTTATTCACGCGCTGTGTATATTTGCACTGTAACAATAAAATAACACTTAATACTAATTTAGGTTTAATTTTACTTCTAATTATGCAATATAAACTTTTTTTATATTACATAGTTAGAAAGTTATTACTTTGTTTTTTGTTTATTAGATTGACAATTAAGCTACAAGCTCATATGATGTTAAGTGGCTACTGCAGTTTATAAAACAAAAAATCCCGATACTGAAGCTTTGTCACCCTTGAGTATAAGTGACTAAACATAACCACTGATATACGCCAAAGCGCATATTAGTGTAAAAGTGATACCAACCCAAAGAGTCTACTGATAGCTTACCAAGTATATTGAATCGATGACACTATAAAATCCTCTTGGCTAACAACACAAACAACAAAGAAAAGGAACCGATGAATAGAAACCGTTCTTTTTTCATAACAAAATATAGATAAATCTAATAATGCGATTGTTCTGGAAATACGGCACTGTATGCGCCAAGTTCGGGAAAGAAAAAGGCACTGGCAGTGTGTATATTTACACAAACCATTTCAAGCCAGTTTCAAACACCCTATAACTAAATACAATTAACCTATATCACTTACAATTTTGCATACCTAATAAGGACACCGTGAATAACGAGAATTCCAAATTTCATAAATAAACTTAAATTAATTCTCATGCTGAGAGGGTTATGCAAAGGATAATCCTCCGCGTTGCTCCACTAAGTGTTGGCAGACTATATTTTATATTATTGAAATATATTTAATTCTCAGACGTACAGGTTTTTTTTCTGAGATATTTTCCTACACTGCCGATCATGTGGTAACTCAGTACTCATACTTAACAAGTTGTGTCTTGTGGGTACGGATCGAATTCGGGTTGCTTGCGTATCTTCTATTAAATTTACTTAGCCGCTATGTCAAATTATACTAAGGCAGAATTCGTCCAAAATTTCGTTAACACCAGCAACCAGATTGCTTTTTTTATTATTTCGGAATTTAATTAGGCAATTGTAGTCATTCGGGCGTTCTCGTCGCTGCGGAGTCGCGTCAAACAATGCGTCTTACCAATTAGTTCGGTAGTTTCTCTCCAGCGATGGCATTTTGTTTTCAAAGACTCGTTTCATATTGCGATCTTCAGAAGCATGATGCGCATGTATTGTTATTTTCTCCCTAAAATACCTATTCAAAGACCCTTTGCCCTGATGAATAATTACGATAATATTTATTTTTAAAAAGTTTTAGTATTCCACAGCACATAAGCAAGTTACGCAGCCTATAAGAAAGAAATATGAGGTATTTGTGTGCTGAAACTACAGCACCGCAGAATGCTTTTAAATGCATACTCAAACTAATATGGTAATGAACATATTAGTTTGAGTAGGCATTTAAAAGCAATTAATTGTTAGTAACGGATATGGACAATACTGTTGTTTGGTCAATTCAGTTTCATATAACTACGAGTATAATATATAATATTTGGATAATATGTATTAGTTTGGTATAAATTTAATATATATATATATATATATATATATATATATATATATATATATATATATTGTAATCTTTATACATAAAAATTACGTGTCACGTTGTTTGTCCGCGATAAAGTCCTAAACTACTGAACAGATATCAATGATCCTTTGCACACTGTGTGTAGTTTGGTCCAACTTGAGAGATAGGATAGTTTTTATCCCGTTAAGTGAACCTCTTTTTTTTGCTAATCTCAGGAGTTTTTTTTTTAGGAAAGCAAATGGTCGTCAGTAAGAGCAGAACAATTTCTGCCTGGTCAGCTATATTATATATAAAATGAAAGTTTGTATATATGTATATGGAGTGTAATCTCCGGAAACACTGCACCTATTTGAATAATTCTTTCACCATTTGAAAGGTACATTATTATTGATGGACATAGGTTATTTATTATACATATATATTATACCTAGAAGTTATGATTATATTTGTTAACTAAGTTTGAAAACTTCGTGTGTCTTGAGAGCGCACACAGCGTGTGCTACACCAATAGTTAAAGTTGCACGAAAATAATAATTTACGGCTGGATTGTTCCTCTTGAAAAGTTCTAAAAAATCTCCTAAGGATAACTCACAGTAATCATTTGTATATAAAACTCTCACGTGACAATATAATTATGGTGGCAGTCGGTCAAAAAGTTTTTATTAGCAGCCCGGGGTCAAGAAGTTGTTGGCTGCGCCTGATCTCTCACTGAATTTGAGAGCGGCGGAATAGAGAGTGCACTTTTGTTTGCGCACACAGTCGGGCACTATAGCGTCTTGCGCATATGGCTAATAACGTTGAGACTGGCCGCAGTCAACGAAGCCGCAGTCAACGAAATTCGGTCTGGAAGATATTCTTATTATGGTACAAATAGAATAATAAAATATATTTAAATAGAGCTTTATTTAACAGTTACTGAAATTTTTTTATTAAAATATAACATGCAAAGAAGTGATTGGCAGAGTCATTTCGTACATCTCGTACTACGCCACTGCTCTCTAGTGTAAAATTTTTAAGTTATTTATATCTTCTATTTATTTTAAAGCAGTGCTATTCAATAGTCCACAGGTAAAACTTTAGTAATGCTTTCGTTCAATTACATTCTCCACAATATGTGAGATAATCGTGGCTGCTTTATTAATGACTTAAATGTCGTCTCTATTGGAATTCAATGAATGCTATTACGGAGAACCGAGACGTTCACACTTTATGCATCTGAACTAAGAAATTAACATAATGAAAAAAGTTATCTTCTCTAGTTTCCGTATAATTCGAAAACTTTGTAGGTTATTACTGTGTCTGAAAATCAGTAATCAAAATATACGTTTGCTTTAGATATTTTTATATACTTAAAGAATAAACAAAAAGCTTTGTCTGAATCAGATCTTTGCAATTCGGGATTCATACATTTTATATGCACTGTGATCATTACGATAGAGATACGGAGGATCAGTTCGTAGTAATCATTACTCAGGATGAGATATTAATTTATGTTAAATGTTGTAGTCCGTGCAAGTAGTAAACCTTAAGTGCATAAACTTTATGCCTATTTATTACTTATTTAAAAATTTTTATTCTTCATACATCACATATATTACATATTATTTATATAATTCATAACAAATAATATGTTTTTTTACCTAACTACGTGTTGCAAGTGATGACATATGGATTTGAGACGTGATCCTTCACTACTATCCGTATGAGGAGGCTCAAGTTCGCTCAGCGAGCTATGCTCG